ATAGGGAGAAAACATGATTTTGAAGAGTGGTCTTCAAAAGTGGAGAAAATAAGATTTTGAAGAGGGATTTTTGAAATAGAGAGAACAAGGTTTGAAAGAACCGAAGTCTGAAAGAACCCAAAGAGGCAAATAAGCTCAAAAAGGAGAGAGAAGGGTCATGGTTTGCCCTGGAGGAGGGCCATCGTCATTCCCACTAGTTTTCAATGGAAGCTCAACATATTTGCACAATTTAGTTATAAAAGAATCCAATCATAAATGATCTCATCATAACAATTGCCCATTCCAAGGATGTGGCTATTCAAATAGATTCAACATACTCTGTAGAGGTTGTACACATTTTCTCACATGATAGACACATTTTCGCCCTGTTTGGTTTCATCAAAATTGCCAAAAAAAATCGGGAAAATATAGAAAAAAAATTGTCAAAGTTTTTGCACGCTTTTCAGAGAACGTCTTTGAATTTTCAGAGACCACATCCCACCTCGGTTGTAGTGCCAATTTTGTGGTTGCATCTTTTGTGATCCTTGTTCAGGGAAAAGTATATAAAAATAGTAAAAAAATAAAAAGTTTGTTTCCTACTAGTGCCTTTTGGAAAATCCGGAAAAAATTCAGGAAAAAGGAGAAATCCGGGCTATTTGCTTGTTCTGTGAGTTCTTTCGATCGTCCTTTGTTTTCACCTTTGTTGCGCACGCCTCGACACGTCTTAGCCAAAGATTGTGATTTGTACTTTGGATCCGGATTGAACAATCATTAATCTGCATTCGTTAATTGCTAATCCTTGCTTTCATCATATTGTGTGCGCACCCATAGCTCCACATATTCTTCTGTCAACACAGGTTCATCTTGCAACTGTTACCCACGCTCCACAACAGATTGCTTCGCCATTTTGGTTTTGCTCCTGTTTGGCGTTGGTAAGAATACAGCAAGACGGTGGTAAGCCGCTTGTGATTTTGCATTCCACTTTCACCACCATCACCACCACCACCACCACTTTTTTCCTTTTAGTTGATAGGGATAATACTTTGGTGTTGTCTTTTCTATCTTCTAACCATGGCGAGTAACTCGAGCGGACTTCAATGAGTGCGTGTCCAAGGGCGAGCTTACAATGTTCATGATGAACAACGCAATCTTATGACTTTAAGCTGACGCAATAACGTGAACAATCTGGTCACCCGCATTACATTTTGAGCAACGCCCTCCACCTTATCGTGGTTGATGATGAAGATGCGGATGCTTTTGGTGATGAAGATGCGTATCTTTCGACGGTGGTGCCCGTCGCCGCCTCAACTTCAATCGTCATGTATGGAAGGTAATAATCATGGTAATAATGATCCTTTGCTAAAATTAAATTTAGTCTACCTCCTTTTGTTGGTAATTTTGATCCAGAGGCATATTTAGATTGGGAGCTTGTTGTTCAACAAAAAATTTGATTCTCATAATGTTCCAATGAGCATAGAGTTAGACTTGCTACTAGTGAGTTTACTAACTTTGCTTTGTTCGGTGGAGTGATCTTTGCAATGCCAATAATGTCATTGCTGTGCCTCAAACTTGGAATGTTTTAAAGCAACGTATGAAATCTCGTTTGTTCCTCCTTATTACCAACGTGATTTACGTTTGAAACTACAAACTTTAAAACAAGGTGATAAAGGAGTAGAAGCATACTATTAAGAATTGCTTATTGGTTTAGCACGTTGTGGTATAAACGAAGATGATAATGATGCTAGTGCTAGATTTTTTGGTGGTTTAAACTATGATATCTGAGAACATACTTGATTACAAAGAATGGCGCAATTTTTCCCAATTGTATCATCTTGCTATTAAGGCAGAACGAGAAGTACAGAGACGCAAACAACACCAGCCTTTCGGGTTTAACAATGGGAGGAATTTTCAGCAGCGTTCCGAGCCGGAGACGACCAAGCTTCCTGTTGCACCACAGCCATCTACACCTCCATTTTCTTCTGGGGTAAGTAAATTGTCTAATGTGCAGTTTCGACAGCTGAAGAAAGGTGGCACTCGGGTGCTTCTACTAGCTCCTCCTCGTCCAGCTCTAAAATCATTTCCCACCGATGCAAAGGCATGGGACATGTCATGAAGGATTGCCCCGGTCGTCAGCGCTTTCATTGCTACCGAGGATGGATATGTAAGTGCTAGTGATGTTGAAGATGATTTAGCCCTTTGTCGCTAACATTGATGCAGATCCCACCGAGGGCGATCAAGACAAGGAGGCCATCACCATTGGAAGAGGTGCTGCCGCCGCATGGACTACCCTAGCCTTCTTGTGCAGCGTGTATTGAGTACGTGTGGGACATGAAGAAGAGATGAAGATCCAACGCCACAATTTGTTCCACATGTATCTCATTATGAGCCTCAGGGTTGTCGTGTTCTCACTATCATTGATGGCGGAGTTGCAACAACTTTGTGAGTTCAGATTTGGTTGACAAGCTTGGCTTGACCGAACACGACAACACAATCAGCTGCCAGTGTGGTGCATACATCTATATCCATATAAACTTCAATGGTTCAATAATAGTGGTAAGACTAAGGTAACTAAACATCATCACGCATTAGCTTTTTCTGGTGCTCTTATCATGATATCTGCTGATTTTGATGTTGTCCCTATGCAAGCTTGTTCCATTTTGTTAGGTCGACCATGGAAATTTGATAATGATGCTTTACACCATGGTAGAACTAATACATACACTATCATACATAAAGACAAGAAAATTACATTGTTGCCTTTGTCTCCTACGGATATTGTTAAACATGCTAATGAGATTAAAAATAAACCTCCAATGAGACATTGCTAAAAATAATGGGATTAAGTTAAAAGGAGGTGCTTTTCTTGCTACAACTGAACTCATTGTTGAGTTATGTGATAATCCTGATGCACCATGTTATACTATGTTTTGTCAACCTTTTATGTCGGTGCATTGCCCTGCCGTCACTAACCTTTTGCAGGAGTTCATTGATGATGGGATGGAGTTGAGGACGACTCCAATTCTAGAAGGAGGGATGATGAGGATATCGCCAAGATGGAGTCGAGGACGACTCCAATTCGAGAAGGGGAGGATGATGAGGACATCGCCATGCTGGACACACCGACGCCATGGTCTTCCCAAGTTGCAATTCATTCCCAACTCAGTCGCCATGTCGCCTCGGATTCAGCGAGACACGTCATCATCTGGTTTTCAGTCATAACTTTCTCATACGACATCGAAACGGGCCGTTCTTGGATGCGTTGAAAGGGGACGACGACGCCGTCGTTTTGGATCTGGTCCCAGCTCCAGAAGGTCCGTGGATCATTCTGTGTGACCACGGCAAGGTGCTGCGTCACCTATTTGGGCCAACTTGGCCATGTATCGTGTTGGGCCTTAAGCCCAAGTTGTGGGCGCCCAACCCTGGCCGTCCCCAACCCTAGGTCGAGTCTTAGACTATAAACACAGCCATCGCCGCTGCTACACAATTGGGTTTTGTTTAGAGTTTAGTTTTCCATCGAGAAACTGAATCGTTCATTGTAACTTGTGGTGACAAATCCGGTGATGATCCAGGGCCCCGTTCTTGATCTCCTCCATCGCGTGTCGATTAGTCCTTTGGAACCGAAGTTCTAGAATCCTCTATTGATATTCGCGTCATTCATATTTGCAATATCAGTTGCGTGTTTTACCTTCTTGCTTGTGCTCTTCGATTCGCTTGCGGGGAAAAACCTTTTGGCGAGGTCAATCAAGTTGTGCTTGGTTGATAACCAACGGAGCAATGGTGGAAGCTTGATTTGCGGGGTTGAATCGCGCCCGACGAAGCCGGATCGCCAACGTCGAGATCTCCACAAATCGAACTTACCGGCTACCTCTCGGAAGATCGGGCCTGTACTCATCACTAACCCTCTCGTAGGCCATCGTGACCAAGAGAGGTTAGCCACGCAAACCCTAACCACATGATCTAATTGAGCGCCAAAGTAAAGGGGAACGCTACCGCCCCTACATCTCCTTCTTTAACCTCGTCAACGGAATCATCGCCACCTCCTGCAGGTTGACCTATGAGGGAATCGTTGCCGCCAGGATGACGTTGGCAACGAGTACGACAACGGGATACAACATCACTACCTTCTGCATCAACGCCTGCACCACGCAGGCACGGGTCCTCGCACCTAAAAGCCTAATGGCTTCTTCATCCGCTAAAGAAGGTAAATACTCGAGATCTACTAAGTCAAAGATTAGGTATCCTAACTAGAACTAGAGATCCGGTCTAAGTCTGTGCTAACAACCATTACTAGTTCACTACACACGCTGCCACAACACGACTGCGACCAGAACTCCATCACACCTCCTTCACGATCTCCAGCTATTTCACATGCATCATAGGTTCCAGGTTTGCAGTGGCGGAGCTTAATTAGGGCCATAGTGGGCCATGACCCCCCTAAGCTATAGAAAATGATAATGAAAGTCTTAATTTCACCACTTTAAGTCATAATAAAATTCTAATCTGCCCCCTCTCATTACATTTCATATCAATATTGGCCCCTCCTCATTTCATACCCAAGCTCCGCCACTGCATGTTTGCAAGATAAAATTAGTCATTCTATTCTTATCACTGCATTAAGTTTCTGTTCAAGTACAAGGATTTTATATTAGACAATAAAAGCCCGACGTCCTGATTTATTTGTGAAGAAAAATAAAACAACACACAGATTGCAAGAGTAGTACAAAGAAAAAGCAACAGACACAACTACCAAAAAAAAGGAAATTTAACATGAATCCAAACTAGTAATTACATTCTTTTCTATAAAAAATTATATTATCTTCGAATTTGGCTGCCCTGCAATAGATTGAAGAAATCTTGGCACTGGAGGTGTCTTAACTTCAGACAGACACTCGAGAAACTGCACCACTTCACTCATTGTAGGTCGATCAAACTCAACATCTTGAATACACCAACATGCGACTTTACAAACTCTCTCAACCTCCTCCATGTTGGCTTCACCCAGCAAGTTTGCATCCACTAGACTAGCAAATGTCTCCATCGACAAGACCGCGCGCAACTCGCACCGGAAAATATGCTTCATGTACACCATCTTGGGACGATTGTTGTTTGCTCGCGTTCCTGCTACCTGATATGATCTCTAACAAAACCATCCCATAGCTGTAAACGTCAACTTTGGATGTGATGGCAGTCCCACTGATCCATTCAGGAGCAAGGTATCCTATGGTTCCTCTCATTGTAGTCACAACATGGCTGAAATCCCTTCCCAAAAACTTGGCCATTCCAAAGTCTGCAACTTTAGGAGTGAAAGACCCATCTAGAAGTATGTTCTCTGGTTTGATATCGCAGTGTATGATACAGTCCCGGCAACTCGCATGCAGATAGGCAAGTCCTCTAGCAACTCCAAGAGCTATTTGGTACCTGACAGTCCAATCCAGCACGGTACCATTGCTTTGGAAGAGATGGGAATCCAGGGAGCCATTGGGCATGTACTCGTACACAAGTAATCTCCTGTCACCTTCACAACAAAATCCAATCAGTTTAACCAAGTTGACATGCTGGACTACTCCTGTTGAGCTCACCTCAGCCCTGAACTGCTTCTCTCCTTGCCGGACTCCATCGAGTCTTTTAACTGCTATGGTCGTCGAGTCACTTAGTGAACCCTTAAACACTGAACCGAAACTGCCAGCCCCCAACTTCTCTGAAAAATTCTTGGTTGCATACTGCAAATCAGCATATCGAAATGTGACGATCCCGATGCCACCCTGAACATCATCACCATACCGCTTCCTTCTTCTCATCATCACTAACATCAGTAGAAAGATGAAACCCAAAGTGGCAGTGGTTGCACCAACAGCAGCGCCAATGATCACTGCCCTCCTGCTGGTATGGCTGCTAGTTTCCACTTCTTTTGCGGCGAGGCGAAGGTGGAGAACACTGTTACCTTGCAGCCGTACGTTGAGCAGTTTGTCGTGCCAGATGGAGCAGCCACTACCTTGGTCGTTGTAGGAATACGCAGTGCAGGAGCAGATTCCCAGGCAGGCAACTGAGCATTCATCTTCACTGGTAGACGCCATAGCGTAGAACTTATCTGGTTCGCTGGCTGCGCCGCCGCCGGCGCCGCTGGTGTTGCAGTGCAGTGGAGTATTTCTCGCGCATCCACCGGTTCGATCACCGAGGTCCCAGTCTTGAGGTGATCGTATGGAGTAGCCCTTCATGCAGGTGCAGGACGGGAAGGGGACGTCGTTGCAGACCGTGAACGGGCCGCAGGAGGCGTAGACGTCGCACTGGGATTTCGGCGCCGCGTACACGGCCTGCCAGTCCGTCGACGACCCCTCGAACCACAGGAGCACCTTCATCTGGCCGGAGACATCCATGACAAAAAAGACAGCACCGTTGGATCCGCGACGGCGTACTCGATGTACGTCTCCTGTTCGTCGCTGGTGAAGCTGAGGGAGAGCCAGGTCTGGCCTACCGTCTCTGGGATGTTGCTGAAGTAGCGGCCGCCCCAGGTCCCGCTGGACCAATACTGTTTGGACGAGTTGTACATGAAAACGATGGAAGTGTCGTCACCGTCACCGTCGTGGCCGGAGCCGGACGACGACAACTCGCAGGAGTAGACGCCGGGGCTCTGGTCGACGGAGTTCTTCCTGGAGACGAGGCGCCGGATCAAACCGGTGCCGTTGCTCCAGCCGATCTTTCCGCCTTGGAGGAGAGTATCCGTCGGGTGATCGAAGCTCTGCCAGAAGATGTTGGACGCGTTGGAAGCGCTGTGCAGGACGAGGTTTCCGTTGTCGAGGAGAGAAGCAGCCATGGCGGTGGTGGTGCCGTTGGTTGTGGTGGCGTTGGTTTTGCTGGACCAAACCGTGGAAGATGTAGACGACGATGATGATCCATTGGCCGGCAGGTGGTGGTCGTCTTGGATGACAAGAAGGTCGCCGTCTTGGGAAAGCACGAGCTTGCAGGACGTGAGGTTGGCGACGGGGTTCTCGGCGTTGGCGACCCACACGGGAGTGAGCTTGGGCACCGTGTGGAACCAAATCCCGAGGTACCATTTGGGAGTGCTGTCACTGTCAGAGAAGTTGCTCCCGGTTTGGAAGAAGCCGAGCGCGAACCTGCCATTGCTGGACACGAGCGTGTCGCCGCCGGCGAGGCCTTGGGTAGGCAAGAGGCTGTCTGCCGTGGCAGCGTGACACGGCGGTAGAATGTGTAGGTGCTGCAGGAGAGAGGAGGAGGAGGAGAAGGGCAGGGAAGAGCACGAGAGACACTACGGATGGACGCATGGCCATTGCCGCAGAAGTCTGGATCGGTAGGTATGTCACTGGCCAAAATGGGTGTCCCTTTATAGAGCCCCACCACCTGGGAGGAGTTGGGATGTCCCTGTGGCTCGACTCTTGAGTGGAGACCGGAGAGAGAGGGCATCCAGAAAACGAGTGCACGACGGCCAGGAGTCCGGCCGGATGAGCACACGTCGTCTGGGCTGCCAGCAAGTCGGTCAATGCAAACATACTCGTCATGGGCACATGGCACGTGCAGTCTTCGTCAAGGACTGGAATTATATCGCTGCCAGCAAGCAGCAGTCCAGGATCTATTGGCGCTAGTGGATCATATGTCAAGATGAAAATGGTCGGAAACGGTATTACAATATAGAAAACGAAAGCGATCGGTTTGGGATATTTGTACATTTTAGCAATTAAAGAGTACAAAATGGTTGAAAATGGTTGTGAAATCAATTAAAAATGACAATTTTTTATGTTTGACGAAATTCGGAAATGGTATCATAATATAGAAAATGGTATCATAATATAGAAAACAAAAACGGTCGGTTCGGAATATTTTCGTACCGTTTTCATCCTTATTCATATGTATATATAAACACGGGGTCACTGGGATTTTTTCTGTTTTGTAAAATATATTAGTATTGAAAATTGAAACCCTAGAAAGAACGCAACGCAACAGTAGTGTTTGTCTGTATGTAGACAGGGAAAAAAATTCTATGCGCTATCATCCTCGACCGGGCATTTGGTTCCACAAATAAGTACAACATACAAGTTGGTTCACGGATGCAGTCGGGGATTAATTAGTTAGTTGAACATGCAATGCATGGAGGGCACAAGTGGCTGCTGTTCCGATTATGGCCCTGTTTGGCACAACAAAACTGTTTGGAGCCGTTTTGTGCCAAACAGGATAAAACAAAACAGCTCCATGGAAGGCGCCCCTTAGAACCTGCTGAGACAAATAACTGGAGAAGAGTGGAGTTGAAAATAGTAGCTTCACCCAGCTCCACCTCGCATAGTGGGCCCCAGCACGTGTTAAAGTCTGTCTCTACCCCCATCAGTAGGCGCGAGGCGGGAGGAGCCACCGGACCATGGCGTGGGCGGGGCCACTGGGGTGCACCACCTCCAAGTGCAGGCATGGTCGCAGCCAGGGGCAGGCATGGCCACCGAGGAGCGCACAGGCGCTGTCGGGCGCGGTCCGCCAGGGCGCGCGAACCGCCGAAGTGCGCGGGCCGCCGAGGCGTGCAGGCCGCCGGAGCCTGCGGCAGCCAGAGAGCGAGGCACAGGGGTGCGCAGGTCGCCGGAGCCCATGGCCGCCAAAGAGCACGGCCACCGGGGCGCGTACACCACCAGAGCTCGCGGTCGCAAGGATGGCCAGGTTGGTCCCTTGGCAGCTACAGATTAATTGAGGAAGAAGGGAAGAGCAAGATAAGGAGAACATGAAAAGTGAAGGGTATTTCGGTCTTTGCATTAGTTTTCTCCATTAGAATGAGTTGTGTTGTCAAACGGATCATAAAAACAGCTCTAGCTCCGTGGAGAGAGTTGCCGGTGGAGCTAAGCTGGAAAAAATGGCTCCACCGGTAAAATGGAGCCGTGTCAAACGACGGCGCTTCATTTGCTCGTGAGGTTTCATCTTTGTACAGTCAAAAGTCTCTCTTTGTGAGTGTTCTCACAGCAACTATATGTGCGATCATATCGTGTTCTTCGGTGATCATGATTAATGCATGAGCACTGTGGAGACGTCGAAAACCACATGGTATGGTATGGCCTCATGACCAACATGCGACTTGACTGGTTGGTCGTCTCATCGAGTCATCGCACTTGACTTGGTAGGTCGTCTCATCGAGTCATCGCACTGAATCTTGAACTCCAAGCGGAAGCGTGTTCTATATCGTACAACGCTAGTAGGCTGGCTAGCTTCCTCTATGCATATTGGTCCAGCCACCGGACGACGTACGCGGCCTGGCATGTGTTACTTGGTCGGCGACACGGCTACCACAAAGCAACACATGCTCACAACCTAGTATTAGGATTGAATGTTACTAGAGCATGCTCAGTCTTTTTTAATTTTAGCTGTGTGCCTGCTATCTTTTAGGCAGAGGCCCAAAGTTTTCGTGCCAAAGCTGTGTATGTACTGCTTGATGCAATAAAAACTTCTATTTTCAAAAAAAAAAAATGCACAAGCTGGTCCTGCCACCTACAACAATAATCGTATGAATCGGTGAGATGTGAACCATTATTCCACTGTAGTCGTACAAACAATCAATGCCGGACCAGGATTTAAATCGGGGTATATGTCTTGGAGACTTGGACCTGTATGGACTATTCACTGGGTCCGCCCCTGCCAAAAATAGATTGATGTATCTTTACTCTTTAACACGTGTTAGAAAATACCATTTCTTGTATGCTTTAGAGTGTATCAAGATTGTTGTGATTGATTAGTTATCACAAGAAAATATTAAAAGAATAAATACACCGGTAGTCTTTAAACTCAACGGTGCTATCCCGCCATCCAGGTCCCAAACTTTCGTTTTTTTTTTTAAATTTTTTCTCAAAACTTACCCCGCACACTAGCACTAGTCCAAATGGGCTTTGACCTGCTCCGTACACCAACATGCCATGTTGACTCAGTGCTAACTGGGATCTAACATTTTGGGTCCAGTAGCTAAACTTGCATAGTGATGCTATCTAGGTCTAAACTTCCAAAATTGCATATCTAGGTCCCCAAACATGCTAATGAGCAACATAGGTATCTAAACTTGCATGACGGTGCCATCAAGGTCCCTAACTTTTAAAACTACAGATTTCAAAAGCCTCACCTAGAGAGAGTCATTTGACCACGGTGAACATAATATTGAGTTATTTGAAACATACACCAAGTGTTAGACTATATATGGTACCCCAAAGGATCGCAATTTTAGTTGATTAGGTACTCTGATTCGAACTATGTGGGGTGCAAAGTTGATAGAAAGAGCACCTGGGTATATGCTAATTTCTTGAAAGATCATTAGTGTCATGGTCATCAAAAAAACAAAACTCGATTGCATTATTAACGGCCAAGGCGGAGTACATATCTGTGGGTAGTTATTGTGCTCAATTGCTATGGATGATTTGGATTATGGAGTGAAATTTGATGAACTGCCACTGCTATATGATAATGAAAGTGCCGTGAAGATAGCCACCAACCCAATTCAACACTCAAGAATAAAGCACATTGATATATGTCATCACTTCATTAGAATCATCAAGCAAAAAAGGGATATATCAAGATTGAGAGTGTGGACACCAAAGATCAACTAGCCGATGTATTCATCAAGCCATTTGATGAAGCAATATTTTGCAAATTGAGAATTGAGTTGACCATCCTAGACTTCTGCAACATGTGTGGAAAAACACCGATTCTATAACTAGCCTCTCCTCCTACCAAAACAATGGTAAGATTGCTAGTGCATTTCATACCTAACTAGAGTGTACCACTGCGAAGAGTTCATTGAGACAATTAAAATAGATATTATTTGCTTAATTTAGAACTCATATGAAAAAATTATGAAATTTTAAAATTAAAAAAGGAAGTCAACAATCAACGCACTAGTGCATGCAACGTCCAAGCGCTGATAGTGCAACGGCAGCAGCAGCAGCAGCCAGGTGGGGTCGGGCCGCCTGGCCTGGTTCGGCACGGGCCCGTGCTCGGCACGGCCCGTCAGGTGCATCGGGCCATGCTATGCCAGCCCACTGGCGGCACCAATGGCCCAAGTATGGCCCTAATAAGGTTTAGCCGGGCTGGGACAGCCCGATGGCCTGCTCGGGCCGAGCTGCTCCCGAGAGCAGGAAGGCCTAGAGCTGAGGCCACGCCGCCGCTTGCTCGACGCCGATGCGCGTCGGCCGGCGTCACGCCGCCTCGCCTCCTCCTCGCACGCCGGCAGGGTGCACCAGCCGGGCCCCACGTCGTCGCCTCACCACCTCCGTGCATGCACTAGACGATGGCAGGAGCGGATGGAGGAGCGGAGTAGAGGGTGGAAGCACCGGACCAGAGTAGCGCTTGCAGAAATGCTGAAGGAAGGGAGGGGGAGGCATCGTGATGGTGTGGAAGGGAGCGTGAATCAGGGTCGAGGGAGAGCGTGTGTGGCGGTGGCTGGGAGTTGGGGAAAGACTTTAGGGTTATGGTGTTGGATAATATATTTATATATGCACCTGATTGGGCCGGGCCGGCATGTCGGGCTGTGGGGCGGCCGGGCCCGATAGTCACCGGGTCGTGCCGTGCCTGGGCTAAGCCAAAAGATCGGGCCATGGGCCGTGCTGTCGGGCCTCGTGCCTTCTAGCCAACTATTAGGTGCATTCGCATACGGACGCACGACGCCCGCCACAAGCCAAGAGCAGGCTGCGCCGTGGAAAACCTAATTGCAAAGATGGTCTTTTACAGAACCGTCGGTTCACAGGTTTCGTAAAAAAAATCGACCGATTCATCTGGTTTTTACTATTCTAATTGCATAGATGGTCTTTTAAATGAACCAGGCTGCTATAGTCCCTAATACGGTCTTTTGCTGGTTGGACTGCCGGCCTAGTCCGTTCCTAATAAGTATGTTTAATGGCACTACTCTTTTTTTTCGAAGAACCCACGGCAAGAGCATGTCAGGTATGTATTAATAGAGAAAAGTTTTATAAAAATTAATTTAAAAAACAAAAAACAAAACACTCACGAAGGAGGCAACAGTAAGACTAGCACAACATGAAAACACAACACCAGCGGACGCCACCTTGCACGCCACAAAGAACAAGCGAACTAGGAGGTGGGAGGGAAACGACATCCACAAATGCTGTCAACGCTGACAGGAGAACCATTGTTTTTCAATCAAACTCCTAGAGGGTAAACAGGGCTCACAACAATGCCTCCAGCGAAGGATGTGATGCCAAAGGCGGCACCATTGTCGACCACGGCCAAGGGCCTGGTAGGGCCTTCGCACGACAACCCCCATGCCCAAACCCCAAACCAGCCAAGAACCGCAGCAAGCCGCTACTACTAGGAGATCACTATGGTACCGATGAAGTCACTAGCATGCGTGACCTGTCGCCGCCACGCCGACCTACAAGGGCCATCTCCATCCTACATAGCACCAACCACCGTGGGAAGTCACATCTTGTTCCTGCACCGTGCAAAGGGTGTCCACTACTACAAAAACGATATGTGGCAACGCCTCTCTTTCTTTGTAGGGACGGCTCTATATTGAGCTGCCTCTACAAATGGTTGCCAAATGAGCCACCCCTATAAATGGATTTGTAGGGGCGGCCGGTGTTATCAGTCACCCCTACAAATGACCCGATTTGTAGGGGCGGCTCTATATCCAGCCGCCCCTACAAATCGGATTTGTAGGGGCGGCTCAATATTGAACCGCCCCTACAAATAGACGCCGAGTATTAAAAATTAAGCACTAAAATTCAAATTTTGTAAACGACCTTGGATGGAGAAAAAACCAAAATGAAAGTTGTAGATCTCAAAAAGTTATAGAACTTTGTAATTGACAAATTTTTAATTTGAAATCATCTTGTCCAGGAAAACTACGTTTGAATTTCCAAAAATTTGAAATTTGAATTTTTTAAACGACCTCGGATGGACAAACAGTAAAAATGAAAGTTGTAGATCTTAAAAAGTTATGAAACTTTGTAGTTGATAACTTTCTCATTTGAAATCATCTTGTCATGGAAAATTACGTTCGAATTTCATAAATTTGAAATTCAAATTTTATAAGTGACCTCGGATGGAGAAACTATCAAAATGAAAGTTGTAGATCTCGAAAAGTCATAAAACTTTGTAGTTGACAACTTTTTCATTTGATTTAGTTTAGGGCCTCAAACAATCAATTTATGCTTAGTTTTGTATAATATGTGGGGAACCGAAATTAATTGTAGACACAAGTGATCGTGAGGTGCAGTGGTAGAGGAGTTTGCGTGTGAGGGAGAAGTTGCGGTTTCAAATCCCCTCCGACACAAAGTGTGCAAAAATCATAAAAAAATGCTACAACGATAGAGTGGGTGGTGTGGCTGCCAGTGGGACCTCGGATTAAAAAAAATTGCTATATTTCTTGCACCTTTTTTCGTGATTTCTGTAAATTGATCGGTAGGGGCGGCTCAATATCTAACCGTCCCTACAAATCGATTTATAGGGACGGTCTGGGAACCGCCCCTACAAATACATGATTTTTACAGGTGCTTGGGTAGGGGCAGCTGGACGAACTGTCACTACAGAGCTTCAGCCACCCCTACAAATCATATATTACGTAGTGGTCGTCGACTTCGTTGCTCATCGTTGTCCCTCAAGCTTTTAGAGTTGCCACGAGCATTCCTGCGCGCGCAGCTGTCTTCAACAAGCCGCCATCCAGTTGTCGCAGCGGTAGCCAGCTGGCCACTGGCATGTGTGGCCGGTCACAACCGCACCGGTTGAAATGGACCACAACCAATCAAACAGATACCAGCAAGTGAAGGTCACCCGCAGGAGAAAGCTTGGCACACCACTGTCCACTTGCACTAGATGCCACAACCAAGACCTTCCACTGAAACACCATAGTTGGTAGTAGTCCTACAGAGTTGCCACCGACATACCCACCGAGCCTCACCAACCAAAGAAGCCACCGCAACCCCGCCGAAATTGGCCATCGTTGAACGAGACCCATCGTCGTGGCCACGACTGCAGAGAGCAACCATGGACAAGCTGACGCTGCTTCAACAGACAAGCGCTGCCAAAAAAGCACAAGCTGATGCACCGCCGGTCATCGAGGACTGCTGTCATCTTGATCGGCGCCAACCACCGCAGGATGCCCCAAGATGGAACGAGGCACCCGCAGCCCAGCAGCCTCGCCGACGCCTCACCCCAGCCAACTACAGATACCACCGCTGTCTTGCCGACAGACGAGGTGTGGCGTAAGGAGGCACAGAAGCCGTCGCTCCCAAACTGGCGCCTGAGCCCACGCCCATGCCGCAGCCTGTGCATGTGCCGCCGCGCTGGCGCATGGGTCCGCCCCGCAGCGTCTGCGCTGGCGCAAGAGGCCGCGCCGGCGGCCGAGCCAGCGCCGCCGCCGCTGCCGCTGCCACCGGATCCGCACTCCTGGCCACCGGATTCGGCACCTTGGCCACCGGAACCGCACCCCGGCCACCGGAATTGAGGATGGCGACCGTCCTCGAAAGCACAAGCGCAGGGAGGAAAGGATGCGGGAAGAGAAGGGGGAGCCTTGCCGCCGCCGTCCTTGCACTGTCGCGAGCAACTGGCCGCGTGCTCGAGCGGCGGCGAGGACGGGGAGGCAAGCGGTGCGGGGGCCTGGTGCGGCGGTGGCGCGGATCCACCCGTGTCGCCCTAGGAGGAGCGACGCGGGGCCGTTGAGTTTCGTTGACGAAAGCTGATTGATGGCACTACTCGTTGTGCTGCAAAATTCAGCATATCTGCGTTTCTTTTCTCTCAAATTGTCATGTGGGATTTAAAATGCATAAGTTCTAGCATTAAACGAGTTTATATGAACTCAATTAAATCCAACAAATATTATGGCAATTGGACAGTCAATTTTGCTTGTTATTTTCGAATCAACCTTCGAAAAGGGTAGGGTGTTCCTGCAATTCACTATAGGTACAAAACAATTGACCGTTTACAAGGGAAACCAAGTATGAGAACCTTACAGTCGCACAACTTATTAAAGAAACGACTGACCCTGCCATCATTATGCACCTTATCACAGGTTCAGAACAGCGATAAGCAGCTTCGACTTCTCACAACGAACATGAGACAAAGCACCTAACACGCCGCCACTTACTCACAACAAGCCTCGGCTTCGAACACAGGATGTCATCGTTTCCAAGCATTGTTTCCTCATGGTTTTTTGGCTCAGTTTCTATTAGAAAACTAGACGGACACGTCTTTTTTTCTTTCTTCATCTAATACAAATTGCGGCAAAACTTTTACGGTCCTTTAAAAAAAACATTGTTGCCCCGTAAGAGTCAGAAATGCGCTGCAAGCAAGATAGCAATCCCGAAAGAACCAGGCGGCAACCCATCTACACAAAGTTTGCATGTTATTGCACACGAAGTACCGTAATACCACTACCCAAATACAAGCACTATTTGTTCAATCGATTGGCACGTACTGGCATCCTAGGGTTAGCAACCAACACCAGGTCAGACCGCGGGGGCATGGTGATCCCAGCTGCCTCTGTCATGTCCATCTCCTCAGCAACCATCCCTTCCGGCAGCTCCCAGTCGAAATGGAACAGCAGTGCCGCGAGCGCGAGCTCAACGTGCGCCAGACCTAAGCCCATGCCAGGGCATATCCTTCTTCCAGCACCGAACGGGATGTACTCGAAGTCCGCCCCCCTGAAGTCCCTTCCACAGTGCTCAAACCTCTCCGGCACAAATTCCTCCGGCGCGTCCCAGTGCGCCGGGTCCCGGCCTATCGCCCACGCGTTCACGAGCACCATGGCGCCTTGCGGGACGTGGTATCCGAGCACCTGACACGCGTTACGGCACTCCCGTAGCAGTACCGGCGCCGGCGGGTACAGCCGGAGCGTCTCCTTGATCACTAGCCGCAGGTAGTGCAGGTTGGTGAGGCCGTCCTCCGTCACCTTGCTCTGTCCTGCGAGTGCCGTCCGGACCTCGTCTTGTGCTTTCTGCATCACCGCTGGATTCCGCATCAGCTCGATCATTGCCCATTGCAAAGCCGTCGATGATGTCTCGCCGCCGGCAACAAACAAGTCCTGTGTGTGCGGAAGACGAACATTAGCAAAATGGGTCGGAATCATGGATGATATGTGCATTGTAACCGGAATTGAAGGAGATCAGCTGGATATATACCATGATGACAGATTTGATGTTGATTGTAGTGAGAGGGTATTGGAAGTCCATGTCCTTCTGCAGCCTCAAGAGCACGTCAAGCAAGTCCTTGTCGTCGTCATCTTGTACGCCGGTGGCAGCAGCGTCGTCTCTCCTCTCCAGGTGCTCCCGGATGATGGAGTCCAAGATGGCGTCCAAATCTGGACCGATTGACCGCATGGCAGCGCGTCGGCGCACGATCACGTGAGACGACACGTAGCTGGCGAGCGTGGCGAGGCGTGACGGCGGGAAGAAGTCCAGCAGGCTGAACTTGGGGAGTCTCCTGAGCGCCTCCTGCAGCATCCGCAAGAACTCGTCGCGGTGCTCGCTCCGGCTGCCGCCGGTGATGGCGCGCGCCGCGGAGTCGAAGAGGAACCGCGATATCCACCGGGTCAGGTTCACCGGCGCCGCCCTCGCCCCCGCGGTCGCGACGGCGCCGAGGAGGCGGGCGAGCTCGTCCTCGCGCACGGCGCGGAAGGAGCGGACGCGGGGGGCGGCGAAGAGCTCGAGGGTGCAGACCCTGCGCATCTGCCGCCACCCGTCGCCGTAGGGCGCGAAGGTGACGCCCTCCGCGCCGCGGTGCAGGAGCCGCAGCGCCGGCGCGAGGGGCCGCGACGCGAGGGCGACGTCGTGGGTCCTGGTGACCTCGCGCGCGGCGTCCGGGGACGAGGCCACCACCACGGGGACGTTCCGGAGTCGGAGAGCCATGAGAGGGCCGTAGGTCCGCGCGAGGTCGCGCAGGGCGCGGTGCGGGGGCGCGACCCCGGCGAGGTGGTGCAGGTGGCCGATGACCGGCATCGCCCATGGCCCCGGAGGTGGCCTGAGCTGGCTCCGGGCGTCATCCCTCCCATGCGCATGGCGACGGGCCAGTACCACGAGGACGACGACGGGTAGGGCGAGTAGAAGGACCAGCAGCATGTACGGCGAGAGCTCGTGAGTGGCCATGGCCAACGACGTTCTACCAGGTTCTTGGTCACGTCCTCCTTCGATCAGTCCTTAAAAAATGGCTGGCTGCTGGTTGTACGCACGAACTACTGACTTTACCTTTAGGCCCGCTATATGTTAGCGCGTGTTTAGTTCCACCCTAAATTCAAAAAAAGTGATACAATATCTATCACAATGTTTGTGGCCTGTGTATGGAGTATTAAATATAGACGAAAAAAATTAATTGCACAATTTGATGGAAAATTACGAGACGAACGTTTTGAGCCTAATTAATCTATAATTGAACACTAATTACCAAATAAAAACGAAAGTGCTACAGTAGCCTCAAATTCCAACTCGCTCTTACATGTTTAATTGCATGTACTTGGATGGCACGTCCCCAGCTAGACGACGGCCCTGGCTAGCAGACGGAAGGAAAGTATCTTTCAATCAGGCGACTGAAAACGTGCAACTGAAGCCTAGCCCCTGCTTGCAAAACAAAAGAAAGTGAGCCCACAACCTCCGTCCTGGAGTACTGGCTTGCTTGCGCTGCACCCTATAGCAGCACACGGCCGCGTGGAGCAAGGGAGAGTGGGGACTGAGCGTGGAGTGTGGACGCCGGAGAGGGAAGGACGTCACGTTGTCCGATCTGTTTCCATGGGATATGCATTGTGGTACACAAAAGTTAAAATTAAAATATGATAATTTTCTTGTCAAACATCTATTTTTAATTCTGTTTTCATCGTTATGTTCATCATGACAAGATCTATACAAGTAGACCCATGTTAGATATATTTTGAAACAATTTTCGTGATTATAAAGTTTTGCGACTAGGAGTATAAAATTTCAGATGGTGTAGTACAAAGTTTCAAAACTTGGAGTCCAAAGTTTCGAATTACAAAGTTCCATTTTAAGTGTATAAAGTTCGAAGCATGTCAGTATAAAGTTCCTGAATTTAGGTGTCGAGTTTTGAAATCCCAAAGTTTTGAACCTAGCGGTACAAAGTTTATAACGTAATAGTTCTAAGTTTTGAACCTAGTACAAAGTTTGTAATGTGATAGTTCAAGGTTTATAAATTTTGAGTATAAATTTTTGAACTTACAAGTACAAAGGTTGTAATGTGATAGTTCAAAGTTTATAATTTTTTAGTGTAAAATTTTTGAACCTGGCATTACAAAGTTTGTGGTGTGATAGTTTAAAGTTTATTAATTATGAATGTAGTTTTTACAAACCACTGGTGCCCTGAATTTAGGTGTACTACAAAGTTCGAAGGATGGCCAGCTCTGGGCCTCTGTGAGGCGCCCTGCTTACCCAGCTCACCGTGGTTCAAACGACTTGGCTCGGTGCTAGCTCATCGCTCAGTATGCTACCCCTGCCGAAGGGTTCGAAGCTGCCATCACTCAGAGGGAGCATGCGAACAAAGAGGTAAGGAAAAATGGCTAGTGCCAGAGTGTGGAGGTGACCAGCACCGTCTCCAATGAGGACCAAAAAAGTAGGCTTTACAACCAATTCAGAGCAGAGGTGATGGCGAGCATGGTGCTGGTAGAAATGAAGCTAGGGTTTTGCATCAAATCAATAATGAGATATAAGGTGAAATCAAAACTGGTGGTGCATCGAGTCAATTCTTATAGGAAGTAACACAGAAGGCGACCATGGGTGTAGGTGGTTGCAGCTCTACTATGGGTTGAGCCATGGAGGCCTTGGGGTTAGGAGCTAGCATAGAGATGAAGAGGAGTTCGAGCTCCATAGCTGGAAGGAATAGATGGCGATCGACTACACTACTTCCCTCATCGCTCCACTGCCTAGGCTACTTCAAACACAATCGAGATCCCCTCTACCAAGGCATGCTCCATGGAAAAAAATGAACAAAGAGGGAGATTTGATTGCATCTAGGAGAAAAACAAGGAGAAGAGTGCAACACATCTAGGAACACATCTAGGAGGAGATGAAGAGGTGGGTGGGCAAGGTGGTATGGAGGATCGTAGCCGCGTTGGGCCTAACCCTCTTATGTGCGTGTTGGAAGCTTGTTCCTGCTAAAAGGCTACAGCTGCCGGAACACAAGTTGTTTGCCAATTTTGCTTCCTGTTGAAAGTTTATACATAAAAAACTAGAACATTGTTCTCACAAATTACATTAGTGGTCAGTGATTACTACAATTATCACTTACATGATGTTATTATCACCCATATGCGGATAATTGATTTCCTTATAACCCATCACCGGGACATTGTTGTGTCATGTGATGATCCATCATTAATGATTTGCCCCAAGTAAATCCATCACTTCTAGGTGAATCACTTCTAGGTCAGATCATGTAATAACCGTGACCAATATAATTGGTGATGTCATCATCGCTCACAAATGACCTCTCATTAGTGATTACACAATGTCATATCAAGACCACACATAAGTAACGGTCAATTATAGGATCTACCACAATTGGTCATTAGAGTGTCTCCAATAAACTCTATGTATAGTTTTTTTATCATAAATTTAGAAAAATAAAATGAAAAATAGGATCCAATAGACTTTCTAAACCACTCTTTACCTTTTTCATTCTTCAAAACCACGGTTCTCTCTCCACTATTGGAGAGGCTAAATCGCTCTCAAATTCAATATATGGTACTTCTATTATTATTTTTATACTAGCAAACATATCCGTGTGTTGCAACGTAATCCAATACGTATAGGAATTGGACTCCATATCATCGCTAGATATGAGTTGTTCTAACTCGTATAAGCCAGGTTATATGAGTCCAGGCCACGTAAGAGATACGTAGGATGCGACATATGTATTGGAAATTGGAATCGGACTCCGCATTCATCATCGCTAGACGTGTGTTGTCCTAACTCGTATGAGTATGGATCATAAGTCCACTATATAGATGTAGATATAGATATAGATATGAAAAAAAATATGATAAGTCGTTAAGAATGGATTTAGAGAGTCCGTTGAAAATACAAGAGATGCATAAAGAGAATATTCATAGAATAGCTATCTGAATAGAGATAGAGAGATTAAAGTTTAGATACGTTTAGAGAGATGAACCGATCACTCCATCGACCATCATCCATGCCGTGACGTCGTGCTCGTGCAATTCAGTGCAAGCCACACCACCATCTGCAAGAGCATCTGCAGCCTCCCAATTTTTTCCCCAAAAATAAAGCCAACTCGATCACTCCCTGCCCTGCCGTGGGCCGTCCGGCCGTGGCATCGAACGTCGTCGGCCATGGCTGCCAACGAGCTCTCGCCGTACCTGCTCCTGCTACTTCTGCTCGCCCTACCACTCGTCGTCCTCGCGCTGCTGGCCCGTGCACATGGGAGAGATGACACCCGGAGCCCGCTCAGCAGGCTCGTCCCCCCGGGGCCGTGGGCGCTGCCGGTCATCGGCCACCTGCACCACCTCGCCGGGGGTGCGCCCCCGCACCGCGCCCTGCGCGACCTCGCACGGAGCTACGGCCCTCTCATGGCCCTCCGCCTGGGGACCCTCCCCGTGGTGGTGGCCTCGTCCCCGGACGCTGCGCGCGAGGTCACCAGGACCCACGACGTCGCCTTTGCGTCGCGGCCCATCACGCCGGCGCTGCGGTTCCTCTACCGCGGCGCGGAGGGCATCATCTTCGCGCCCTACGGCGACGGGTGGCGGCAGATGCGCAGGGTCTGCACCCTCGAGCTCTTCAGTGCCCGCCGCGTCCGCTCCTTCCGCGCCGTGCGCGAGGACGAGCTCGGTCGCCTCCTCCGCGCCATCGCGATGGCCACGGCCGCGGGGGCACCGGTGAATCTGACCCAGCAGATATCGCGCTTCCTCACCGACTCCGCAGTGCGCGCCATCGTCGGCTGCCGGAGGGAGCACCGCGACGAGTTTTTGCGGATGATGGAGGAGGCGCTCAAGAACCTTACCCGCTTTAGCCTACTGGACTTCTTCCCGCCGTCACGCCTCACCACGCTCGTCAGCCGCGTGTCCCGCATGATAGAGCGCCGCCGCCGCGCCATGCGGTCGGAAGTTCCAGATATGGACGCCATCTTGTACTCCATCATCCAGGAGCACCAGGAGAGGAGAGACGCTGCTGCTGCCGCTGCCGCTGCCGCTGCTGGCGTACAAGACGATGACGATGAGGACTTGCTTGACGTGCTCCTAAGGCTGCAGAAGGACATGGACTCCCAGTACCCTCTCACCACCCTCAACATCAAGTCTGTCATCATGGTAAGCTCCGATCAGTCCCGGTTACATTGCACAGATCATCCACTCTGTTAATGTCCGTGTTCGACACACACACACACAGGACTTGTTATCTGCCGGTGGCGAGACGGCGTCGACGGCGTTGCAGTGGGCAATGATCGAGCTGATGAGGAATCCGGCGGCGATGCGGAAGGCGCAAGACAAGGTCCGGAAGGTACTCGCCGGACAGAGCAAGGTGACGGAGGACTGCCTGACCAACCTGCACTACCTGCGGCTAGTCATCAAGGAGACGCTCCGGCTGTACCCGCCGGCGCCGCTGCTGCTGCCACGGGAGTGCCGCAGCGCGTGCCAGGTGCTCGGATACCACGTCCCGCAAGGCGCAATGGTGCTCGTGAATGTGTGGGCGATAGGTCGGGACCCGGCGCACTGGGACGAGCCGGAGGAATTTGTGCCGGAGAGGTTTGAGCACTGTGGAAGGGACTTCAGGGGGGCGGACTTCGAGTACATCCCGTTCGGTGCTGGAAGAAGGATATGCCCTGGCATGGGCTTAGGTCTGGCGCACGTTGAGCTCGCGCTCGCGGCACTGCTGTTCCATTTCGACTGGGAGCTGCCGGAAGGGATGGTTGCTGAGGAGATGGACATGACGGAGGAAGCAGGGATCACCTTGCCGCCACGGTCGGACCTGGTGTTGGTTGCTATACCTAGGGTGCCTGTGCCGATTGACTAAACAATGTAATTCGGTTGTGGCATTGTGATATACTTGGCGTGTGGAATAATCAAAAAGAAGGGGAAGCCTATGCAATTGGCATTGGGGAAAAACCATACATCCTAGATGGTGTGACCTTTCATACACCACTTAATTAAAAACACAATCTATGCCAAATGCGAAGTACAATGGTCAACTGATAAGGGTATAGATATTTACAAGTTGATCCGTCGGTCTTCGAATGAAATGTTGTACAAGGCACTTCCAATGGTTACACGTTGACGAGTTGGGCATTAGGCTAGATGGCAGACTAGGCAAATTAACTTGCAGCAGATTAGGTACTCCTTGTGACTCCTATTACCCTAATGCCGCTTGTGGCATCAGTTTAGACTCGAGTAGTGTTGGGGGCAATGTTCTATGTGAAAGTGTGTCTAGCTCCAAAGTGGGTTTTGCTGGATTGAATGACAACACAATTAAGGGACAAAAATATTTGACGGGATCATATGCAGGTGTTTAATATCGAGTTGATTGTTGTATTTGGGCTCAAACGAAGCAAATGGCATGCAAATAAGAATTGAGCCCAAGATTGATTCATGAAATGGAAAAATGGCAAGCATACTTTTGAAATGACAAAATAGACATGGTTTGATGAATATCAGTAGGTCTCACACATGAAGCTTGTTCGGAGTATGCAGACATTAAATTTGGGATTTCGTTATTGACCAAATGATGAAGTGTAATTGAAGAAGGAAGAGTGAGACATGAATGATTTCATATGGATTGGTCTCACACATAGAGCTTACCAAATCTAGTGGGAGCCCAATTGATATTGACGATGTTAATCAAGCAATGATTATGACATTAGATACTAGATTTCAATAGAGTGATCAATGTTGATTCAAGACTAATTGTGACTTGAGGATGAATTCATAGAGTGAAGGTAGCAAGTAAACGGTTTCAAGGGACTAAGCAAAGGTGAAGCGCAAGTGACAGCTTGGCGGCCTAGGTACCATGGCTAAAGTGAAGAATAGAGTACTTGTATTGAGCCGATGAACTCATCGAGCTATAAGGAGTCATGTTTTGTAAAGAATCATGTTTTTCTTCAATTATATGAAAAAGTGACTTTTGGATGAAAAGTGTAATCTTAATCATATGGTACGAATAATCCTAAGTCATAGTTCCAGGAGGGCATGCTCACGGCGATGGTAGTGTTGAAGACCCTCAAATGACGAAGATTGAAATAATAGCAATACTTCCATAATGAGAGGCACAAGTGTGACTTAAATGAATATTCTTGATCGTGAGTTTAGAAAATGATGTCCTATCAAGAGAGATGCAACACTGGTTACTAGACAAGACCTAAAAGTGCTCAAAACAACCTAGGAGAGAAACCCAAGTGATTAACTTGAAAAACTATATTTAAGTGTGCAATGAACTAGGAAAATCTGCCAGGCCGGTTTCCTAGGGTTTTCCAAAAGCTAATAGCTAGTTCTGCAAAAACCGGTTTTGACTGACTTAGCCCCCAATAGTTGTTTCGTGCCCTACCTCTTTGTAGAGTTGCTGGTGCATTCTAACATCTCTATACTTCAGACAAGCCTTAAAAGCTCTCCCAATCCTCCCTTTGTGAGATTTGTGTGCTTAGTGAGATATCCTTTGGATTGAAGAGTGAGATTTGATTTGTGTGAGCTTGAGTGAGCACTTGTGAGGTGAACCTAAGCCTTAAGCACTTTGTGGAAGCAACAAGACACATGGTGAAGCATTTGTTAGTCTAGGAACTTTCCTCCAAGATGGCTATGCGTCGCTGGCAAGCGCCCAACATGCGGAGTCGTGAGGGCTGTGGTACTAATAACAGACAAGGATAGTGGTCAACACAGACATGGCACAAGTTGACATTTTGGGGTCGCTCACTGCCACCTCAACGGAGACATAGGGTCCAAGTGGAGGACCTAAACTTTGAGAAACAAATCGTTATCTCTTGTCTTGATTTGCCTCACACTTGCTTTTCTATTGCAAATTTGTGCTTCCACTTGTCTCTACATGGTTGTGCATGTTTGTGGAGAGCTAGGACTATGCGAACCTATCAATGAGCACCTAAAAATAAGATTGTGCATATTTTTATGCTTCTACTTATGTGTTGCTATGTCTTTGTGTGTATTGAAGTATTATAATATTCAGACATGATTTTATTAGCTCGGTACTAAACATATTCAGGATCTTGTAGGTTAGCGAAAACCAACAACAAGACGGCCAAATGAGCAGACTTGGTTGTGTTGGTTATACTCAGCAGTTATCAAATGTGTCACTCCTTCAAGATTAGAAGCATATAGGAGCAGAAAATGATTTTGTTGTACCCAGCATACCTCCCAAAAACCAATCGATATAAATATATAATGTTGAAAACCAGACGAGAGCTTATCAGCGTCATGGATAGCAATGGCTAGTTGACTACACATAAAAATGACTGATGCTTTAAATATACCATGTTTAAATGTTGCAAATCAATGTTCGGCGTTTCTAGAGGTAGTTTCTAAGAGCAATAAATTCCACTGATGCGTAGTTTGCTATAGCAATTTCTATGAAAAATAACATTTAATGAGACGATGCACGTATTAAAAACTGAGAACAATCAGTTGTGGCAAGCATGTAGGAATCCATGTTGTCACATCTCATTCACATTGATAGCTGCTCCAACGGCCTTATTTAGATTCTAAGTTTTTTCACTCTCTCTCCATCACATCAAATCTTTGACACATGTATAGAATATTAAATGTAGATAAAAAAATAACTAATTACACAGTTTGATTGTAAATTACGAGACGAATCTTTTAAGTCTAGTTGAACCATAATTGGGCAATACTTGTCAAGTACAAATGAAAGTGCTACAGTGCCGAATACTGATTCCTAACCGCGAACTACGTTAAAAAATAATAACTTCGACGGTTTGAGGATGGCTTGTCGCTAGCGATGTTGAGGTAGAACTTCTATGTGCACATCCAGACGGTGGCGCGCAGCTTCTGGCGAACCTTCCTGCCTTGGCCTTGTATAGTTCGGGGTTAGGAATTAGTATTTGACACTGTAGTATTTTCGCTTGTATTTGATAATTATTATTTAATTATGGCCTAACTAAGCTCAAAAGATTCGTCTCATAATTTACAATTGTAATTAGTTATTTTTTTTATTTATATTTAATACTCCATACATGTGTCTAAAAATTTGATGTGATAGAAAAGAGTGAAAAAACTTGAAATCTAAACGAGGCCTTGAAATGTCGAACGGTCTGAACAAGGGGTTTACAACTTTTTGATGGATGGCCCCATAGAAGTACGCCAGGATGGGACGTTGCTCGAATGTTGACGAGTCGTAGTTGCCAAGGAAGCGAACGACCAGCTTGAGCTACAGAACCTTGTTCCTACTCACCCTCTCCTCGCATTGAAGCTTCGAGTAGCGGTTGTAGCTCAGCGACGCAAAGAATGAAATGAAGATGTTGGTGCGGGCGCGAGAGATGAGCGGATCCGGTAGCGCCGCAAGGGATACGAGGGAGAGAAGAAAGAACCTACGAGCTCGTTCGGTTATTTAGGAACCACTCTGGATTGGATGGATTATCAGTTAGAAGTTCACTAATTTGTATAATGTTGATAAGCCTAAATAATTCCTCCCAGGCTAACCGAACGGACCCTAAGTTCTTCCAAAGGCCGGTTCGTCTGTTTCTTAACCCATGCGCGAGGATTGTGGGCTAACAAGTGCATCCACTGTTGCCTAATAACATTATTTATGTTGAACGGTGAATGTAAATGAACAAGTGATCTGGGAACAACTATTTATTTCATTGGTCTCTTGAGATTATATATATGTAAAGGGTTGTGTTTGAAGGACACAACTCTTGTGAAACTCCAAAGGACATGTCCCTTTGGTTACATCGTTAATTGCTAATCACTAACATTAATCCTAACTACTCGTACGCACGACGTACGGACGCCAGACGGATGAGATCACCCCTCTGAAGAGACGCCTGCTGGCTCTGAAAGGTGCCTGTTAGTGAACAGGTGTCGTTTCACGACACTCCCCGATGATTGAATCTTCTTTGAGATAAATGCAACTGTAAGCTTGGATTCCTCAAAAAATTCTGTGGAAAAAATCTGAGAAATATGTATGTATAGATATGCTATAAAAACTTCTTTAAACCTTATAGGAAAATAAGGATAAAATAGCATATATAAGTGTGATTTAAATAAACCACTATGTCATTGGTATTCCATTAAAACCCCCAATGGGGAAAGATATTGGAGATACGATATATAGATAACTCTCCCAAAAACCTTTTTCAGGAAAAATATGAGGAGCAATATAGAGTGATATGCTGCTAAAACTCTTAAAAACCCCAATGAAAAATTAAGAGAAAATATGACGACATATTATTGATATTGCCTCTTGGATAACTCACATGAAAAATCTTTTCGGGGAAAAACCATGGATGAGTTATGAGGCAATATGTGTCTTTGATATTTTCCATAAAAACTCTGGTAGACAAAATAGGAAATATGACCCATGCTTATATTAATATTACCTCATAAAAACTTTAACAAGAAACCTTGTGAGTAAAACTTGTGCAAGAAAATAGTATAATATGATGCTGGTACAGGTCAACATTTAGAAGATGTCTCTCCTGATTCTGGCAAATCTCGAAGTCATCGCATACAATTCCATGTACCAATTTATGAAACACAGAAGTTGGTAAGGACTTAGTAAATAGGTCAGCGAGATTATCACATGACTTGATTTGCAATATATTTATTTCCCTGCTTCCTTGTAATTCATGGGGATAAAACAGCTTAGGAGCAATGTGCTTAGTGATATTGCTCTTTATGTAACCTGTTTGCATCTGTGTAACACAAGCGAAATTATCTTCATAGATAATTGTAGGTGATTCAATTGAACCAATACCACATAATTGTTGTATATGGTTAATCATTATGCGAAGCCATACACATTCTCGTGATGTCTCGTATAGAGTAATAATTTCA